GAGCACCTCTGGGGGTGGGGTTTAGACACAGCTCCCAGCTGGGGGAGAGACCAGACTTTCTGGACATTCCTTCTAGAAACTCCTTCCTTTCACGCTTCGGGGCCTCCACCTCCCTCCCCTCAGGACCACCCTACCCAGAGGTGGACAGAGAGGGCAATGTCGAAGCATTTGGCAGCTGACGGTGACCAATAAAAACCTGGAGTTGTGGAATTCTAAACATTTGGGACTGCCTCCAGTCCCTGCGGTTAAGGGGAGAAGAAAGGGCTTGTTCAGGTCTCAGCCAATGTCGGAGGAATGAACGTGAGGGCACGCACGGTGGGGTACCAAAGTCTTTCCTCGGGCGAAAATGAGTGGCTTTCTGCTGGCTTTCTCCTCCTCCAGACCTCATGGACCATCTCCAGTTACAAAGCAGAAGTGCAGCGAGCAGGCCCTCAAGGGTCAGGCAACACTCAAATTCCACAGCCTGACAATTTCCACCCAGTTCAGTTAATCTAGTTGGTTTTTTTTTTTTTGCAAGAAAGCCATTACGAAAAAAAAAAAGGGGGGGGGCTAGAAGGAGGGGTGGGGGTGAGGAGGCAAAGGAAGGAGAAAAAGACTCGAATGTTCCTTGATCCAGCAACACCTGGCCCCAGCCATGTGCAAGCCAGCCAAAGGAAACAGGCTGTCTCAGTAGGGCATCTGGATTTGCCATTTCTCCATTAGATAAAATGCTTTTTCCAACCAACCCACCCACCACCGACAGGAAACAACATCTCCAGGTTTAAGGGTCTCTGCCATCCCAGGAGGCTTGGCCGGGAACTCTGTTTTCTGGGTCTCAAAAAGATCCGTTCACTCAGAACTAGCAGTATTTTACACTTTGTCATGGGCTCCTGCCTCCTCCTCGTTTTGGGATCTGCGAGTCACTTCCCTTGTACCCAGCCAAACTGTTGCTTGATAGCGCAGTGCCCAGAGATCTGGGATGGATGAGCCACTGAACACGGAGCAGCTGCAAGCTCTGCCCTCTGTCTACATGGAACTGGAGCCTGGGATTTCTCCTCTGGAGTCTAAAACTGACACGAAGGCAGCAAGCTAGCCATGGCACAGTCTGCCTGGGAAAAGAGAACGGAGGTTCTGGTGTTCTGAATCTATTTTCTAGAAGAGAAGGTCATCAGATCATCCAAAGGAGATGTGTTTTCCTCTGTAGAGGGCAACTGGCAAAGCATCTAGGAGCACTCAAGGGCGTCCTGAGGCATGGAGAAGGCACAGTAGCTCATCAAGTGAAATTCCATCAGTCAGGCCCCAGAGCTCAGTGACTCATGCCTCTGGCGTCCCACAATGGGATGAACACAGGGCTGTGAATCAGCGGCAGGCTAAACTATTGCACACAGCATTTTGCAGTCTATAAAGCACTTTTTTTTATAGAGATCATTTGATTTTTTTTCCCTTCCAGGACATTTAAAAATGCATTATAGATGATGAACACATGCTGTGTCATTTTGATGAAAAAGACCACTGCTAGTGTAGACCTTGGGTCTCCTGGCTGAAGGGATACATAGACTCCAACCCACTTCAACCCAGGGAAAGTCAACACCCGCCCAATGTTCTTGCTGTAGGTCCACATGGAGCTTAGGAGCCAAACCCGTGAACTCTGCCAGGATCGGGTCATTTCCATGAGGAGGGGGGACTCTTCTAGGGGTCCCCAAGGATGCTTCACACAGATGCAGGAGTCCAGGGAAGCAGTTAGTTCGTCAAGTGAAATTCCATCAGCCAGCTTCCAGGACTGAGTGACTCACACCTCTGGCATATCCATGAGTGGGATGAACTTGGTCTAGAAAGATGCAATTTCCTCCAGTCCCTGCTAGGGGAGTTCTAGTGTGTTCTGGTGGAGGGATCTCAAGGAGTGTGCAGGGCCCAACCCACACCCCTGCACAGCAGGGATGAGGAGAGACAGGGATGCTGTCTTCACTTTCACAGGCCCAGGGCTTTACAGCTGAGGTCACAATTTTAACAGCCTTTCATTCTCAGGCCATGTTAAAATTTCCAGACTCCAGTGAGAGGAGGTGGAGGGAGGGCTTCAGTGAAGAATAAGGGTGCGACGTTTGCACCTGGTATCAAAGCCAAGGTCACAAGGGACCAGAGCACAGGTTGGGAGGCAGCTTAAACACACAATGCTCATGACTCGTTAACTTCTCTGCCCCTTGTATGTGGGCAGGTGTGACACATACAGTGTCAACGCATACAAAGCATCCATGACCAATAGAATGGACGCCCCAACATGGGATGGGCACATTTTCCAAGGTGTTGATTAACGAGGGGTCTCAGGACTTGGCAATCTCCTAATCCCGTTCCTACTCCTACTAGGGAATATGACCACCGAGATATTCCTGGCGAGAGTTCCCTTAATTCCTGCCTGATCTCTTCCAGTGCCAAGGCAAGCACCCCCAGAAGGGCAGACCAATGCACCGAGGCACTTCCAGCCAACTGAAGTCTACCTCCCTTCCTCCGTGTTTTAGCTCCGAGAGTTGGAATAAAACCATCAACATTCTTCTCCAGGTAGTACAGCCGATCCTCTGCAGCCACAAGTTCTGCACTTTCAGGTTCAGCCAAACACAGATCAACAATAGGAGGGGAAAAAACTGTCCATTTCCCCATCTTTAATCCCTAAATAGCCTCTCCAGGAGGGCTGGCTGGATTTCTAATACTTGAAGAAGCCCAAGCTGTCTCCACACAGCTTTTTTCTGGACAATGTAACTTTAGCTCCTCACATGACACGGTTGCCACACATGTGTGTCCAGTCTGCTGGTCCGTCCTCTGCATTACCTGCTTCAGATCTGAGTCCACAAATGGACCCTGCCTGCACTCAGCTACTGTCCAAAACTCAGCAGGTTTATGGAAGAATTCTCCTACCAGTCTGACACTTGGATTATCCAATTTAGCCAATCGATGCCCCCTCAAAGATATTCCCACCACTTTCTAAAAATACCCAAGGCTCTTCAGTCAATTCTCCTTGTATCCCAAATCCTTGTGGATGAAATTTTAAACTCATGGACCTTGATATAGGAATGAAGTCTTGTTCCCACTGGGTACCTAGAGCTGTCCCTACTGGCTACTAAAGTCATCTTACTGTCCAGGAGCCAATCTAATGTCACTAGAGTGGTGAGACACACTGCTATCCAAGCGGGGGGAAATCATTCCACAGGAGTGATAAAAAGTGAACATTTGGTGAAACCGGATTAGACCAGTCCTTCCGCCAAATCACAGACCACTTAATGAAGCATGCTGGGAACACTAAAGCATGTGACACACCAATATCTTTAGTTATCATGAACGGAATGGCAGCCATTGAAGAGGATCAGCTACATGTGGTCTCATCCTTCCAGCTAAGAAGAGGCTGGAAATCTCATACCAGGCTACAAAGTGGGCTTGGACCAGTGCCTAGTGTATTCAGTGTGCTCTAGGAACATATGAGGAAAGAGCAGGGCTGGTGAGTCATGGGAGGAGAACGGACAGACCAGTCTGGGAGGCACTTGCTCTGGGGCCCAAATATGGTCATTGCAAAGTCACCTCTCTTAGCATTAGTGCTGGGGTCAGCTGGAGGCCAAAACACTGCAAAGGCCTGGACGTATTGCAGATTCCACAGCCCTGGGGATGACATCCAACATGCTACAGGAGAATGGGAGCACTTCTTGCTGCTAGCTCCGCTTGTGCCAAGTCCCACGTGACTATGCCTAAGAGTAGTGCAATCTGTGTTAAACACTCAATCTGAATCACAACCATGAAATGCACAGGTCTTTGGGGCCACTTCCGAATTCTGACATGGTTAGCTTGGTAGCTCCCCTGCACCTGAGTGGTTCTGATTCAGTGGGTCAAGATTGAGGTCCTGGCATCTGATCCCCAGCTGGATTTAGGGACAACTGCCCAGTGGTTGCCAGCCTCCAGGATGGCTCCCAGGAACTCCACCATCTGTATTCAGACCCTGGTGTCATACACACCTGCCCAGCTGGTGCTAGGGCTGGTATCAGCGCAGCCACAAAAACATGGTAGAAATGATATCTTCTAGCTGGTGCTCCTTCCCTCTCACCTTGGGCTCACTTGTCGGGAGATATACAAGCACCACGTCTTGTAGACTCATATGTGGTCTATGGCCACACAGATGGCTCTGGTCAACTGCCAGCAAGAAACAACAGCATGGGATGAATCCCCAGGCCCTAGCTCACAGTTTGGACTGGCGAGGTCGCATCTGGTCCTGATGCTCAGATCTGTGTTAAATGTGTTCGCTTTGGTTACAACGGTGAAACACCTGACTATATGAAGTACCTATTTAACTCAAAGACTTTCAGGTTCAAGTCTAAGATCATGTACTCCCACTGGTTTGGCCATGGGTGGTGATAATGGAAGGCAGTGCGCATGAGAGGGAAGACTGGTGATGCAGGAGGCATAGAAGAGTGGCGGAGCCGATCTGGGCTTTTATAACAATGCTCTCGCTGAAACTACCTTCCGAGGGCATGTCTCCAGTGTCCTAAGGACCTGCCATTAGGCACACCAACTAAACACTGTAACTGAATCAAGCTTCCACCATCTCCCCTTGACTGGAGCATTTGAAGTTCACTGTGAGTTTAGGAGCCAAATCATGCCAAGCTGTAGCAGCAAGATAACACTTGCCAATTATTCTGAGCTGCACAATCTAGGTACAACTTGTTATGTAATCAACAACCAACAATTCAGAGAGGACAAGCTCCTAAACAGGGCACAGAAGGTGTTTGCCGCCCATTCTTGTATACCCACATTTGACTCAGCAGCATGAACCCTTGCTTAACGTCTATGTTCAGACTGTTCTCTGCGCTTGAGACACTTTGTCCCTACTGCCATCTCCCCTTGTCCAGAAACTTTTCCCTAATCCAATCGGGTTGGAAACCCCCCACTCAGGGTCCTCTCCCTTTCTCTCTCTCTCTCTCTCTCTCTCTCATACACACACACAGAAGAAAAACACAGGAAGGGGCCATCAAGGGTATGTGACTTGCCTCTATCTGGTTGAATACCGAGTTGTCGAATTTGAACCCAGGGATCCTTTTCTCACTGCACACCACCCCAACATCTTCCGTGTGCTTGCAGTCTGTGACACCCCAGCCATTGGAGGAACAGGCGGCCAGGGTGGCTTCCTTGCCAGTGCAGTAGACGTTGTCCAACCAGATGGGCCCTGAAGAAAGCAAAAACACCAAATGCCACATCACTGCAGGTTAGCATCTCTGGAGACATGGGTTTTGCATTAGGAAGAGATTTTGTTCCTCCCATCTTTGCAGCTGTTTGTAGCTGTCCATATGTAGAGGGGCGATCTGCCTGGCTCTCCAGAGAGGCAATGGATGTGACTTTGGGATTGTGGTAGAATGCAGCAGATAGAGCTGAGTCAGGGCTGAAACCAACAGACAGGAGCCCCATCTCGGTTTGCTCCACAGTGGCAGGTAAGCAGGTATTTGAGCCATCACCTGCTGTCTCCCTGCCAGTGCACTAGCAGGAAGCTGGAACTGGGAGCAGAACTGGGACGAGAGCTCAGGCCCTCCAATATGGGATGTGTTCATTCCACATAGGACTTTCTTTTTAAAGATTTGTTTATTTTTATTGGAAAGCAGATTTACAGAGAGAAGAGAAGGCAAAAAGAAATATCTTCTATCCATTGGTCTACTCCCCAAGTAGCTGCAACGGTCAGAGCCAATCTGGTCTGAGCCAGGAACCAGGAGCTTCCTCCAGGTCTCCCACATGGCTGCAGGGTCCCAAGACCTTGGGCCATCCTCTGCTGCTTTCTCAGATCATAAGCAGGAAGCTGGATAAGAAGTGGAGCAGCTAGGATACAAAGTGGTACCCAAATGGGATCCTGGTGCTTGCAAGGTAAGGATCTAGCTGTTTAGCCATCACATTAGACCCCATATAGGATCTTAACCATCTTAACCAACTTCTGCCCCTGGAGTTTGAATTTTGCCAGATGAAAAACTTCTAGTGATTTTAGTATGACAACATCAGAGCACTTAGCACTCCTGAACTGTGCACCTCAAAATGTTTAAGTTTTATGGTCTGTGTATTTGGCGGCAATGAAAAGCACCCACTTGAAAAATGTCAGAGTTTTCAAATAATATCTAGAAATGTCACTGTAAAAGGAAAGCAAACCAAACCAAGTCTCTCATTTTTCTCCTGGCTCCATTTAGGCATCTATAGGAGAACAGGGACACCCCAACCTGGGGTCACATTTCACCTGCCATGGCTTGGGCCCCGTGTCTTGGCCTGTGGTCCATTTCCACAGTAACCACACCGATAAACACATAGGCTGATAGTGTGTATTCACTCTTCTCTTTCTTCCAGGAACTCAGAAAAATGACAGCTCTCCTACTGCTCCCATGGTGCAAGGATAAAACAGAGAAGCACTCCAGCGGGAGAGCAATGGAACACTCCAGGAAAGGCATTGAGGTTTTCTGAGGTGAGGCAGCGTATGGAGCCAGTCTTTTGATTCCCAGGCCCGGCTGCAACACGTCTGCTGGTCAGGGTGCACCGGAGTACGTCTCAGATGCATTGTGGGGAACAAAGAGTTTATAGACAACAGCTGGGATGAGATTTTCCAAGTAGCTCCCCAGCCTGGCTTGGCTTCTAAGCTGTCCGGCTCTTTTCATTGAAACATATGCTGTATCATCCACGGCTGTTTCTACAACAAATCGATGTTTGTTTTACGTGTACTAGCAACGGAAAAAACCTTCTGTGTGCTGCGTGGGGCTTCTTCCTAGAAGCGCTCCATGGCAAGGCTACTGGAGGGCCTCGGGGAATGGAATCAAGCAGTACCACTGTCCCACCCTCCCCGAGGGACTGGATGTTGGCCAGGGCACCAGAACAGGACACAGTCACTATGGAGCCCGCCATGCTTTTTCCAAGGGTGAAATGCAAACGGCCAACAGACACATGAAAAGATGCTCAAAATTATTAGCCATCAGGGAAATACAAATAAACGCCACCTCACCCCAGTTAGCAGTAGCTATCAACCAAAGGCGAAAAAAAAAAAAAAACCAGCAAAGGCAGGTGAGGATGTGGAGAAAAAGAAACCTTGGTTCACTGTTGGTCAGTGGGAATGCAAAGCAGTGTAACCATTATGGAGGGCAGTGTGGCGATTCCTCGGAGAACTGACACAGCCAATCGATTCTTGGGAATTTACCCAAAGGAAATGGAGCCAGCATACGAGTGAGTTATCTCTACCCTCATGTTTATAGTAGCTTGATTCACCACAGCTAAGATATAGAATCAACCCCAAATAGCCGTTGGCTGGTGACTAGATAGACTATGCTATATATACACAATGGAATAATACCCAGCCATAAAAAAGAATGAAATCCTGACACACACAACACAATGAATGCAACTGGAGATCATTATGTTCAGTAAAATAATCCAGATCCAAACAGAAAAACATAATGTTTTCTCTTATTTGTAATAAGTAATATACAGTAATATAATAGGAATAATAGGAATACATAGAGGACAAGGATTGGATGGCTGTTACAACATTTAGCATACAACTTTAAGAACTGCTTCACTGAACCACACCATGTGACTGGCCATATATTCTTGTGGGATATTTTCTATTTGAATAACATAACTATATTCCAATAATGTTCTATTCCAATAATATTCTATTTCAAGGCAGGACTCTTGGAACACTAGTAATTCCTTGATTCTTAATTTTGTTGTTGGTTATATGGATAACCAGGTAACCAAAAGACTTATTGTTCTCTATATTAGGGGCTTAACACACAATACATGCCGGCAAAGCACCTAAGTACAGAGAGACAAAGAAAGAGAATGAGAAGATGAGAAGGAGAGAAACAGTGAGAGACAGAGATATTTTATCCAACGGTTTACTCCCCAGATGGTTATACCAACTAGGATTGAGCCAGCCTGAAGCCAGGAGCCAAGAGCTTCAAACAGGTCTCCCACATGCATGGCAGGGCCCAGGCACTTGAACCATCTTCTACCGTCTTTCCTAGACCATTAGCAGGAAACTGGATCAGAAGTAGAGCACCCAGGACTGGTACCCATACGGGATGCCAACAACACATAATACAGGCCATGGGTATAGTGTATTTTAGTAGAATGTGAAAAGAAAAATAAGACAAAAATTTCATGGTGTTTGAAAAAAGATAGGAAGAGAGAGAAAGAGAGAAGAGAGAGAGAGAGCAAACACGAGCGTATTTCTATTCTTTGGCCCAAATGTCATCAATAGTCTACATTTGGGCCAGGCCCACCCAAGCCAGGAGCCTGGAAGCCCAAGTGGGCATTCCATGTGGGAAGCAGGGACCCAAATCCTTGAGCCATCATGAACTGCCTCCAAGGAAATCATCACAGGAAGCTGGATCAGAAGTGGAGAACCTGGAACTTGAACCCAGATACTCGGATATGGAATGGAGGTATCCCGGGTAATATTTCAACACCAAACACTCATCCCTTTCTTGAAGGCATTTGAAATGAGCACCCTGGAGCCTTAGAGGGGGCTGTTCCCCAGCAGAGCTTCAATCTTAGTCCCTTCCTCACACCTTCAACAGATCCTCCACACCTGCCCAGCACTAGCACATACGTCAATCTGCATGTGGTCCCAGGTAGGATCGCCACACACGGTGTCCTCATTTGGCCTGAGTGCACAACAATGTTTATAGTCCAATGCTGCTGGGTCCCAGCCCCGCCGTGCAGAAGCTGATGAGAACACAGCCCTTTCTCACAAGTCCTCAGAGGAGCCGCAGGGGTAGCCTTGGTGATGCGGTCTGCTGTGTTAGTAGGACACCCGCAGAGCCCTGGGCACAGGCTAACCTCCATTTGCCTGCAGTCCAGGGCACCCTGTCCCAAGAACACTGCTAACTCTTTTTCATAGAGATCTTCCACCCCCAGTTTACTCCCCAAATGACTGCGGCAGCCGAAACTGGGCTGGTCCAAAGCCAGGAGTTATAGGAATTTCTTCTGGGTCTCCCACATGGGTGCAGGAGCTCAGGCACCTGGACCATCTTCCTCTGCCGTATTCCCAGGTCGTTATCAGTGAAGCAGTCATCACAAGTAGAGCTGCTGGACTCCAACCCGTGCCAAAGGTGGCGGCTTAACACGCCACACCAGCAGCATAGGTGCTGGGCCCTGGTTATTTTTATGAATAAGAGAGTGCTCATCCCGGAACTTCCTCAGGGCTCCCATGTAGGTGGCAGAAGCTCGCTGACAAGCCGCCACTGCTACCTTCCAGGGTCTACATGGGATGGATACTCCTTCATCTTGGCTGCTTCCTCTCACACCGCTGAGCAGCCAGAGTGTTTCTTGAGGACATCTGGCTCTCAGTGTGGTCTCTTAGGCCAGCAGCTCCAACAGGAAATTGTCAACTGCATGGAGGTCAGACATGGATGTGACGGAACAGCCTCTGGGACCACAGACAGGTGGGCTAGGAGGGAGCCCAGCTGTCGTCTCCAGCCACACCTCCAAGCCTGGCTCCCATCACCGCACAGGCTCCCAGCAGCCACCACAACCCAGGCTCCATGTGGTGAGGCTGAGGGCTGGGATGTTCTGTCTTTTTCATTCCTTCTGGTGATTCTAGCTCATCGGTCTAGCTCAGGGGAGTGAGCACCTCTGCTGTAGCCTAGCAGCTGGACCCATGTTGAGGCCTATACAACAGTCCAGCTGAAATAAGGCACTATCTTTGCTTTACCAAGCCAGGGATGGAGAATGTCAACCTGCTAAATCCTGAGCAAAGAGCTTTAAAAAACGTCCTTTCTCTGCATCTACCTTCTGATTTGGGAACTCAGACTGGCTGATGATCGTTATTCTTAAAAGCCCACCTTCCAGCGGGAGCATCTGAGGCTGGAGCAGATTTGTGCCTTCCAGTGGAGCGTCAAGAAGCAGGTGTGAACCTCAAAGCTCTTTGTGCCGAGGCGTGTGCTCCTTCTAAGCTCTCCCAACAATCAAAGAGGAAACCAAAGCAGGGAGGAGTCCTCCACCCAGAGGCTCTCAAAGAGGAAGGGAGCAAGCTGAAGGGAGGGTCTCCTACCCCTGGAGCTGATGCAGCCTCCAGGGCAGGCCAGGTAGCCCAAAGGGATCAATTGGGCCCAGGGTGCTGGCTTGCTGAGAGCTTTCCAGGGTTGGGACACTCTCCTGGCTCAACCCAGGGAGTCCCAGGCAGACCAGCAAGGGTTGGCCACGCCCTGATCCTCTCCTGGCAACCGTCTGCTCCCACCTTCCTGTGCGACACCGCCACAAACACATGGGCACGGACAGGCCACTGCCAGGAGTGCCTCCTTTCCCAAGCTAAGCTGCTCCTGGGTCTTGCCAAGGAAACACAACCCAAACCCAGAGCCTTCTTACCTTCGCCTTTGCCATAGGAAGAACTGGCTGTCCAGGACTTGGCTTCCACGTATCCCAGCTCCCGGCAGACAACGTGGGCGGCATGGATGGAGAAGTCATCATCGCACACGGTGCCCCACTGGCCATCGTAGTACACCTCCACCCGGCCCTCACTGTGCTTTCTCTTCTGGCCGGCCAGGCGCAGTTGGATCTTGACTACGTCCGAGGGCACCTGGGGCTGGTGGTACTCAGGTGCTGGCTGTTGGAAGTACTCGGGATACTGGAAGGAGGCGGGCCAGTTCTCATACTGGGCCAGGCATGGGGAGGACAGGAGGGCGAGCAGAGCCAGGCAGCAGCAAAGGCCTAGCCTCTCCATCGTTTTTTGCGGTGGCCAGAGGATCCTGCTGAAGGAGTGCTGGCTTAGCAGGGGCAGGCTGGCTCTGAGGCAGCAGGCGCTTCCTGCAAGAGAGGGCAGGTGCGTTAGGACAGGCATGTGGGGCCAGGGAGACCCACACCATGCTCGGCCACTTCCCCCTCATCTTGAGATGCACGGCAGCTGCTCCCATCCTACATGCGAACATGCCTCTTCCCCTGCCTCCCACTTGCCCCAATGGCAGGCAAAGCAAGTGTCTTCAGAAAATCCTCTGGTGTTACCAAAGACTGTAATACTCATCAAAGGACCAAGTCACAAACAAAGCCGGAGAGTGGAAAGGCTCCTGACTCAGCCCCCTCAGATCATTGCCTGACAACTAGTGATGCTCCATCCAAGTCCCTTCCTACCAAACACCCCCACACCCCCAGATTCCTCTGGTTCTCGTGGAGCCCTGGGGAGAAGAGGCGGGTACTGGGGTTCATCATTTCTAAGGAAGGAAGGCAAGACACAAGGCAGCGAACTTGGTGCAGCAGAAACCAAAACTGTTCACTCGCAGGATACAATCATCAACATCTCACCATCACATACCAAAAATGTCTGTTCTGCCCAGGATGTAAAAAAACCTTCACACTTAAGCAAGTAGCTCTGCTCTGGCTTCAGCGCCATCTCCACATCTCCGCTGCCCACAGACATAAATCACACCAGTCTGAACTGGCTGAAGTTTGATCACTGTACCTCCATCTTCTTTCCAATCCTCAAGGAGGCTACCCCAGGCCCCCCAAATTAGAATGAATGGCTCTGTGATTCCCATAACATTGCATTCTAAGTTGCCTCTGGCTTGTGCCACATCTGGCTCTACCTCTGGCCAGAAATCATATTTTGTCATTTCTGTAAGAGCCACGCTTCTATTCTGGTTATGGCAGACAGTTGGCGTTACATAAACCTTTCTGCTGGGAATAACTAGGAAAGTCATAGAAATACAAAAAGTGCCCATTGGAAGACTGCTGTAGCAGCAAGCATGGACTCAAGAAGCCAAGAACTCGGAGAGACAAGAGGTGTGGCAAGGCGCGCTTGCAATCGGCATCTGTGTTTTCCCCCTTGATGCACCTGCCAGTTCGAAGGAGTCAACAGACCCGTGAGTGATGCTGCACTTCCAGGCAGCCTCCGCGGCTGCACAGAGCCAACCTGGAGGACAGAATCTGGCAAGAGAAAAGAGAAGCTGTGAAGTGGCCCAGGCTTCTAGACGTGGGTCCCCTGGGAGGCAAAGCCTCGGAGGCTATGGCAGAGAAAGGTCTAAAATCCGCTAATGCTGAAATCCCAAAAGGGAGAGCAAATACTCCAAGGAAAAACTCGAACACCCGATTAAGTGTTGCAGCAAGTGTCTGGGTCTACAGATGTACGCTGAGGTGGACCTGGCCGGCCAACAGACCCTAAAGTTTCTCAACCCTGGTGCAAGGAAACCAACAGAACTATCCAAGCCACTCAAGTAACACCCTCAAAACATTCTTCCCCTAAGGTGTCACTGAAAGACTGCCTCCTCGCTCTTGCATGCTGATGTAGTTTGACAGCAAGGAGTGGTCCCTTCTCCCCACCCAGCAGACCAGCAGCATAAAGAAAAGAACTGAAACATTTGCCTTACCCACCTTCCTGCCTACTTCAACCCTCCAAGGCCACCCTAATTGGAGGCCCACATGGGAGAGCATCCCTCTCAAATATGTAAACAATATTAAAAATAAAATTAAAAAATAAATATTTACCAAAAACTGGCAAAAGGTATACTGAACTCAAGCATTAGAGTTTACAAAGAAAACCACTGGTGGGCCCACTGAAATATAACCAGAGCAACTTCTAAAGAGAAAAGGTTAAAGGCGAGCCTGAGGGTAAGAGGCATGGGGCCCCAGGATCAGCCAGGAGGTGGCTTTTGAACCAAATAAGGGAACAAGAGGGCACAGACTGACATCACCCAAGGGTTGACAAAAACAGCAGTCAGCCTGGAATCTTCACCCAAGGAGGATAACGAAGGTGAAGGACCGTTTCAGACAAACAAAAATGCAGGCAATTTGTTACCAAATCCACAAGATGGGAAATGCTGAAGAGAATTACTCAAGCCAAAAGCAAAATGATCCCAGATGTCAGTTTGGTGGCGTAGGGTGGGCTGTAGGACACGGAATAGGAGAAGACTAGGTAGGTAGGCCTCGTTGGAAATCAACTGGGCAGATCCATCCTAACATCTTGTAGGCGTAAAATACAGATGTGCACATGGTTTAGAGGAGAGAGACTCATGCAAGGGACACATGGGAAATGTGCCTAAATGGGTCCTACGTTGGGTCAAGGAAGAAAATCCCAACACAAAGAGAGTGTCTGGCCACACAGACTTTCAGCACTAAGTCAATATAAAGGCAGAACCACAAAGAGCACAAAAAACTTCTAGAAGTGACGGATAAGGAAATGTAATTTCTTGTCTGTTACTTTCTGCTCAGCAAATGCCTGCTCTAAGTGAATCCAGGGGGGCCTTCCTGGGGTGCAGGCAGCCTAACCCGGGTAAACCTGCAGGGTATTCATGAATGTACCTGATTGAACTACTGGACCCGGGTCACCTGTCATTAAAGCATTCCATCAAAAAACACCAGAAATAAATAATCCATAGGTTTTGTTTTGCGTACTTCTCTGAATAGCAAAATGAAAAATGCTGTCTTGCACGAGAAGTGAATCATTTTTTTTTAAAATTTTTCTTTCTTTTTCATGATACAATTCCATATGCTCAGGGATTTTTCCCCTTCTGTTCTCTTCTCCCCTCTTCCCACTGTTTTTGTCCTTTTTTTTTTTTTGTCCATATTATAACAGTAGCATAGTCCTTCAACAACAGCCACAAGCCCATCATTTTTCTATTTATGTGTATCATGACACTACAGGTATAGGCAATAGTCAAAATCCAGCATTCTATTGTCTAGATATATTTAACAGTTTCATTGGGAGTCCATCTTTTATTCGGGAGTAGAGATGTAGGCTGCCATGTATCTTCATTTCACCATAATTACCGGCAAGTCAGCCACTCAACAGCTTATCACAGCTGATACGCAGCACTTGTATTCAGATAACTCCTGGTTTACCTACAAAAGGTGCCAGAGTACAGCAGCTCGGATGCTGGCGATTCTGATATCCAAAGAGAAGCCACGAGTGCTCCATGTCAGTGAAACTGAAGGCTCTCAGGTTAGTAAGAGAACATGCCAAGGGTGCTGATCTCTGCAGTAAGAATGTATGTCACACATCCCTGAGATTGTGAGGGAGGGACAAGAACCTGTGCCAGCAGAAAGGACAGTCTGTAATAAGACGTCACTCTCACATAGACCACGTTCACATAACTTCTATTAAAGTCGTTTTATTTGGGGCCAGTGTCGTAGTGCAGTGAGTTAAGCAACCACGTGGAGCATTGGCATTTCACAGGAGCACTGGTTCAGGTCCTGGCTGCTGCACTTTTGCTCCAGCTCCCTGATAATATATCTGAGCAGGCAGCGGAAGATGGCTCACATACTTGCGTCCCTGCCGCCCACATGGAAGACCCAGATGGAGTTCCTGACTCCTGGCTTCAGCATGGTCCAGCCTTGGCCACTGCAGCCATCAGGGGAGGAAACCAAGGGATGTACGTAATCTTCTTTCTCTTCTGTTACTCAAGAATAAATGAGTAAATAAGTAAACCTTTAAAAAAGAATTGTTCTGTTTTTGTTTTGTTTTGTTTTTGATTGTTAAGCCCTTGCATGCTTAATTTAGAAAATGACCTTGAACACGGGCAGGGATGTGTAGCAAAAGCCATAGGGTCAAGAGCGAACTATCTGCAGTTTGAAGTATCTGCTGGGATTCCTGGAACCTGTCTCCCACCCCCAGATAAAGGAACCCCTTAACTCACTTGATCCGGTGAGCAGCACTGTCACCCCCAGGGGAAAGCTGGGGCACGGGAGAGGTTGCCAGTTGCCTAAGGCTGCAGTGGCAGGAAGCACCTGTCTTATCTGAATGCAGCAGCGGGCTGGCCAGGGCAAGGCTTTGCTGGCCCAGCCTGGCACTTGCCTTCCCCTCTAATCACCCTCACCAACACCTGAGCGAGTCTGAGACTTTCAGCACCTCTCACCCTGTCACAGGAGAGATGGAAAAGAACCTGTAAGATCTTGCCAGTTTGGGAAAAGAAATCTGAACGTCTGCATTTCCACAACCACTGTTGGACTATTCTGTCTTCGCAACTCCCAATCTTGCCCCAGAAAAAGGTTTCTGAATCATCCTTCTGCAGGCCCTTCTGCCACTCCCTCCTCAGGAGGACTGTAACATATTAGTCCCAGATGCTCCTCTCTTAAAAATAACTCCTCTGGTTGTTTTGGTCTTTATTGTGAAAGCACTACAAGCTGGTGACAAAATCTGGAAAAAAGGGAAATAAGTAACAGAGGAAAATGACTTGCAACAGTGATCTTGAGGGTAACCAGGATTAAAACGACCGGGTAAACTCTTGCCATCTTTTTTCTGTGTATGTTTATACATTTTAAAAGTTTTATTGTTTACCTGAGAGGGCGTAAGAGAGGCAAAGGAGGGAGGAAGAGAAGTTCTGATTTGCTGGTTCACTCCTCAAATGAATGCCAGAGGGCTGGGAATTCAATCCAGGCCTCACACAGGTAGCCGGGACCCAACTACTTGAGGCATCACTGGTGTCTCCCAGGAAGTACATTAGCAGGAAGAAAGCGCCTGGCTTCAAATCCCAATGCTTCAATACTGGATATAAACTTCCCCATTTGGCATCTGAACTGCTACACCAAATGCTTGTGCCTGTACATGCGTCCTGTTATTTTCTACTTCTTGATTTGTAAACTGCTTCTCACCACGAACAACAGACTGAAAGCATTACAGGAGACATGGTATTTATGACATAGTATTCAATCGTACAACCACAACCTAACCATATTTGTAATATTTTCACTGCTTTAAAAAATGGTTGCTGTGAACAACTTGGCAGTTGAAACCTTCCAGTCTTGCAGCAAATTACTAAAAGTACAATTGCTGGGTCAAAGGGTATAGAAGAAGCCAACACTTTTACAAAAT